TTTCTATCCAGAAATAGTTAATTCTCTCCAGCTTTAGTAAGTTTTCCTTTGTATTATATTATGGATGATTTTAAAATATGAGCTTTGCTCATAAATCACTATAGTTGATTTTTGTCTACAAATCCTAGTCAGCTTCTCCCTACTGCCTCAGTGAGTATGCTATACTCAGAAAATTACTCAGAAAATTAATCAAATTACCTATTTTTATGTTTGACAATTATTATGAAGTAAAAGAAAAGTTAAACAGGAATTAAATGTGGCCCTCCCTTGTGGCTCAGGGTTAAAGCACTGCACTAAAAAGCTAAAGCCTCTTCCGCGTGAATTCGATCCCTGCCTGCCCCGGAGGTGACCACATGGCGTGGCAGACCTCTCCTGACCCGCCCACTGCTCCCCTCAGTCCCGTTCTGTCTCTGGTGAATCCTCTCATCCTCCGCATCTCTGGCTTGTACCCCAGTTCTGTATGAATAAATAAATCTTTAAATATATATATATTTTTTAAAAAAAGCATGAATTAAATGCACTGTTCCTATTTTGGGTAGGTTCTGGATATGCAGTGTTATGTGGATTATATGGAAATAGCCAGTCAAATAAAGAAATTATTCAGGTTCTACCTCTTCTTTTCCACCTTCTTTGTAAATCAGGGAAGTAGGACTTGATGTAGAATATGGTCTTCTTGCAATCTTAACATCTATTCATTCTTTCTCTACAACATGAAATAAAATGTTCCCTCACTTTATATGGGAATAATTTATTTACCCTTGTTTATTCAGTATTCAAAAATCAAAAAGTTATCTTCCTTGTAAAATCTAAGGTAGTCTCTAAAACTCTTTCCCCACTCATAAACCTAGGTGTTGGAACTGAAAAGAATTTATATCAAGATAAACTCCATCATTTTACAGAAAGGAAAGCAATGATTCCCCTGATTTCTTACATATACAGATTCTCAGAAAACAAAGAAAAGGAACAAAGTTTTGAATTAAAAAAAAAAATTTGCTAAGTATAATAAGCACTTATTAAGTATAACAGTATTGACAAGGAATATGAGAATGTGGCTGAGAAATATGGCAGTGTAATATTAATTCACTGACACTCAAAGATGTTTATGATACTGTCAGGTGGAGTAGAATGTTTTCATGCTTATAAGTTAAATTAGTTCTGCACTTCTACAGATACACATACACAGTGTGTGTATGTGACGATGTCTATTTGCACAGGAAAAATCTTGAATTATATATTTATGAGCTATCACATAATCAAGAAAAAATAATTAAGAGAGCCTTTCTCTGGTGAGGAATTGTAATTATGTATTTTCTTGGCTGTATTTTCTACCTTTAAGTGGTTATTTACTATTTATGTGATTATTTTTAAAGGAAAAAAGTAAGCGTATGGACAGAGGTGGCCCAAGAATTCCAGATCATGCAAGAAAGTCAGAACTTTAGAGCATAGAAAGAATGGTGACAGTGTGCTGATTGAAACATATCATGAATTTTTTTGTTTTGTTTTGTACAGTCATGCTTATGCTGCTGGTGCAAGTCATTTGAAGAAAAACAGTCCTTAGAGGAAAAGCAGTCATGCTTAAAGTTCAAAGCTAATGACCACGGATATGACAACTTCCGTTCCAGTAATAAATACAGCTCATCTTGAAAGAAGGAATATTCACTTAATTTCATTTTATTTTGGACAGAAATCATTAAAACAGTGAGGCCTTTGCCAAAACAAAACAACTGTGTATTTGCACAAAACAATGCAAGAGTGATTATTTTCTTAACACTTGTAGTTACGCATGACTTTTTATGAGCTGTTTACAGCATGAAAAGCAGTGAGAATTAAGAAAGCTTCATTGTGAAAGCACTTAATTTTCTACAGTCAGTACTTCCGTGTAGCTCTTACTAACTTGTAGTATATTCATACACCGCTTATGTTTAAAATGAGCTCATTCAGTATTCTTATGAAAGAGGTCTATTTTGTTGAATGTGAATCTTATACAAAGGAAAAATGTGTCACTGTGAAAAAATTTTAAAATGAAGTTGAAGTTGCTCAGTTGAGATCCTTCAAAGGAGTTTTTAATTAATAATGTCAGACCACTAGATGGACTATATGATTGGATAGAAAATGTGAAAAGAGTTAGCTGGTGTATTTTTTTTTTTTTGACCATCAAAACATTTAAATGATTAGAAGAGAGTATCAGAACAAAAGATCAAGGTTTTTGAAAGTCCCATAACTTGTTACATTCAGATAAGATCCAAAGGAGAGAGGTGTGGAATGTTAGCCCAAAACACTGTTTTAAATCTCCTTTCATCAACTCTGCAAAGAAAATACTACCTACAACTTTTTCAGGATTATGAATACATTCTTCTGTGGTCATTTGAATATTATTTGTGTAGTGTGGTCATCTGTAAACCCTTAGCTACCGTGCATTACATGTAGGTGATTGATGAAGGGCAGCCCCCGCTGCTGATACCTTTAGGAGGGAGAGATGCCAGTGGCCCTGTAGTGGCGAGAGTGGCAGTTGCCCCTTCGCAGTAGCCGCACGACAGAGAAACCGAGCCCTCTCACCCACACTCGTTGAAGTGGTCGCTGGCGGTATGTGTAACATGATAGTGCAAATACTATTTTCTAAGCTCACACAAGTGAGTCAATGTAACAGTTACTTGTAAAGCTTATTACTAATTGTCAGACTACTTTTGTAAATAACTAACAGGAAAAAAGTCCTTGACCTGGTGTTTTTCTGTTCCAGGTACAACAGCTTTCTTAAGCTGGTAAGAACCTTTAACTGTGTGCATTCTTGCCTACTTCTTTTACCCCTGTGCAGAAGGCCTTAGGTTGGACTGGAATGAGATGTGTGTGAAAATATGTACAAGAAAATGGAGGAGAAAGGAAATGAGGTGGGGTGAGAGGAAACCCAGGGGGACAGTTTCCCATTCTTAGCTTGATGTTCATCACTGCTCACATCAGTGCGAAAGGTCCTGAGTCCGTTCCAGCAAAGCTCAGTGCATTGTTCTCAGAGTGACTCCAGGAACAGATGGAGCCCCAGAGCTTTAACTCTTCTTAAAATATAACGGAGTCCCTACTCTAGTTTCTGTTAGTAACCCAGGGCCATGTATTGGAAATAACCTAGCAGTGTTGTTTTCTGCCAGCATGGACTGGGAAGACGCAGTGAGCCAAACCCGACAATGGTCAAAAAAGAAGGATGAGAATGAGTTCACATGCCACATGGATTCTATTTACAAATCACTTGGTCCTGTTTATTAACTTCCTCCCTAATCACTATTTCAGATGTCTGTCGTCACAAAGGACTTTCAAGCTGTGGATTTTAAATTAAATTTGGGTCATTAATATTTTCCCACTTTGTAATATGTGTTTTGCCTCTATTTTTAAGTTTCAACTCATTTTCAATACCATCTACTGAGTTTTGTTTTTCTTCCTCATTTACCTCTTAATATCTTCCTTCCTGCATGTCAGAATATTGATCTGTCTTCATCTTGCCAGATTTTGTTAACAGTGCACAGAGTCTAAACATACACTAGTTATAATGAAATCATGTTTGGTCGCTTTCCAAAAAAAGGTTTGATTCAAAATTTGAAGGTTGGTAAGAAAGAAACATGGTTTCTTAGCATACTTAAAACCAAGACAGGGAAAGGTGCTTCTGTTTAAAACATTTCCTAATATCAAAAACTGTATAAGATAGCAATTGAAAACAGTAATGTTAACACAGATAATAAAGCTTAAAAGATTTCTAAGCAATGTTTACCTGTTTTCTCCTTTATACACAGCTAATATGGGTATATGTTCAAACAACTTTAAGTATATGACAGCTTACATTCGACCCACAAAAGTTTATAACAAAACATGGGCATGCTGTAGTTAACTTTATAAAACTATAATATAACCATGTAAAATAACTATATATTTTGTTTTTCTGTGGCCACTTGAAGTGGCAACTGCTGTAGTTGCTGATTCCTTATATAAGCAAAATCAATAAAAACATTAAATTGTTTTAAAAAAGAAGCCAGCTTATTTTTTACTGTGCAAGCAATAATTCATAAAATATTAATTGGTCAAGTGTTTAAAGGAATAAAAGTGTTACTAGTAGATATGGTTTATATTAAGCATGCATTTAATCAAGGAAACATGAAAGCTATTAAATTAAAATGTCAAGTTTCTGATCTCTAGGTTGCTCTTCTATGTTTCATTGTTGTAAGGAACCAGAAGCACAGCCATTCTGTTTTCTGAGGCTGACTATCTAGCTGATAATCTCAGTGACCCCAGAAGAATTTCTCTTTTGACCGGCCTTTGGAGCATTTCTCTGCTCAATTAGTACTGAACCATCGACCAAAGGTAAAAGGTGGAAATGAAATTTTGTCATTACCTATGTCATTCACATGAGTAAGTGAATTCACAAGTGCAAGGTATGATGAAAATAAAACACAAGTTTCCTACTTGTTAGGGACAGAAATCACACTTAGTGGAGTGAGCACTAAGTCCCTAAATACTGATAGCTCTGCAAGCTCGTGTGCTTCCTTCCCTTCACTTCACAGATGCAATCTGTGAAGAATTAGCAAGTTTTCTTTTTCCAACAACTTATTTTAAACCCAGCCTACTATCTCAGGAGTTTCTATGATTTATCCATAACCTTTGTCCCAACTGGGCACTTGGAAATGTAGGTGTCACATGCACCTACATTTGTGATAAGCACAGGAAAGCAAAGCACGGCTGTACCTTCTTCAGGCAGTCACTGAAAAGAGCCCACCTTTTTCTTGAATAGTTTTTAAGCAACAAGCCTAGTAATAATGACCTATTCAATTCATTATATAAAAGCAGCTAGAACTGGTATAATTTTGACTCTTGAAAGAAAAGTAAGACTCTGGCAGGCTTAAATTGTGGAAGGCCAGAAAGCTAAACAGCACAGAGGCCAACTTAGTGAGCAAAGACTGCGCTGATTTACAATCAACAGACTGAAGATACCCAAATTGGAAATTCCCATGGGCTACTTCCAGGATTCATGCTTTACTTGAGCACAGGGAATAACCCTTGTCATGCAGTAAGCTGTAAAATGGAAAAAAGCAGAAAAAGTCAAAAATATCTAGGGCCCTCCCTGGTGGTGCAGCAGGTGAAAGCACAGCACTAAGAAGGTAAAGCCACCTCAGCATGAGTTCCATCCCCACCTGCCCCAGAGGTGACCCACATGGCGCAGCAGACCATTAAATTAAAATGTCAAGTTTTCTGATCTCTTGGTTGCTCTGCTATGTTTCATTATTGTAAGGAACCAGAAGCACAGCCATTCTGTTTTCTGAGGCTGACTATCTAGCTGATAATCTGAGTGACCTGCCCGCTGCTCCCCTCAGCAGTGTACTTCGATCTGCCTGTCCTGCTCCCCACTCTGTCTCTGGTGAATCCTCTCACCACCCCGAACTTCTGACCTGTACCCTACTTCTGTATGAATAAATCTTTTTTTAAAAATGCCAAAAATATCTAATATATTTGATTAGTTTTGCAAAATGGTGTACCCTAAATGTCATTTTTATCTAGAATATGCAATTATCTATAAAATGCAGATATTAATATCCCAACCCTACTTCATACATCAAATGAAAAAATATTAGTGTACATTCTAGAATTTTAGTGTCTGCTCAAACATTTAGCTATAAACCAATGCAGAACATATCCAGGAACTTCTGGAGAGTTCCTGCTCTTAGAAAATCACAATTGAAAAGGTGAGATAGAAAGGTAAGCATATATTCCAATTAATATGTTATAGGTACCTAGGTAAGAAATTTATCAGAGCAGGCGGTAGTCTGAGACTTCATCCAGTCTCAGATGAAGGAAATTCAAGCAAATGAGGATTAAACAGCATCACTGGCATAGTAACTGTTGCAGCTGAAAGGGGTGACTCAGCATGGCCAGTCCAGGAAAAGGGCTGGGCTCCAGTGCCCAGGTGGGGGCTGCGAGGTGAGAGGTGGGGCTGGAGAGACAGGAAAGTCAGGGAGGGTCACCTTTTCCATGCAGTGGGGGTGGGCCAGTGTTTTTCAACTGTCTGAGGACTGCATGCTGCAGAAGCACCTGGGATGTTTGTTTTAGAAATGCAGATTCCCAGCCTCCATGTGTGATGAACGTCATCTGAACCTCTGATGGAGGGCCCAGAAGTATCTGATTTAACAGACTCCACATGCTTGAATGCACCTACAAGTGGGGAGGCCCTGCATTGTAGGTATTGGCACAGAACCAAGTATCTTAAACAAGGAAGGACAGGGTAAGTTATTTTCATAAGACTGCTTTGGAAGTAGGTGGAGCAATTACAGTGAGACAGAAAACAATGAGACTGGACTAAAACCTATGCAAAACACAGGTGAAAGACACAGGATGTGAGAGAAGAGCATGTGGGGTGGTGGTGGGTAGAGCTGGCCAGGTAAAGTCATCATGAGGTGCTGACCAGATACATGTGTAAGGTAAAGCTCAATTAGAGGTATTTAACTAGAATGACCATTCAACAAACTACGGCTGGAGGGACAAACCCAGTCTACTGCTCTGTTTTCATAGTTTTCAAAGAAATTGCCAATACCTGATTTAAATAAGAATTATTAAGAGAAAAGAGGCCCTCCCTGGTGGCGCAGCAGGTTAAAGCACAGCACTGAGAAACCAAAGCCACTTCCCGTGAGTTCGATTCCCGCCTGCCCCGAAGGTGACCACATGGCGTGGCAGACCTCTCCTGACCCGCCCGCTGCTCCCCTCAGCAGTGTACTTCGTCGATCTGCCTGTTCTGCTCCCCGCTCTGTGTCTGGTGGGGCCTCTCGCCACCCCTGAGCCTCTGGCCTGTACCCCAGTTCTGTATGCGCAAATAAATAAATCTTTAAAAAAAAAAAAAAGAGAGAAAAGAGGCAGTCACTGAATTGGAGAAGAAAAATAGTCTGGGATGGAATGAATTCTGTTTGGAAGACAATGAACTTAAGTCCATGAAATATCCAAAGAGCTCTATCTAGTTGAAGATAAAAATTTGTTTATAGATAAAAGGGGAATGGTGAAATGTTCAAGGCAATTGGAAAAAGACAAAAAAGGAAAAAAAGAGAGGGAGATTCCAATATTGAGGTTCATATATGCAAGTGGAGCAGACAGAGAAAAGAAAATCAGAAGAAAATCCAAGGAATCAGAAGACTGATGAGGACAAAGTAAAGGGGAAAGTGATACAAAACAAAGACAGGTTTTCAATCAGAGTAACATAAGGATACAAAAGTGGCTTTGAAACTGGCAATTCAAAATACATCAGCGGCCTCATCTTGAGCAGTGGTGTTTGTATGCACGTGTGAGCGAGAGAGAGAGACAGTGAGAGGCATGACATGTCAGTATATCTCTATTTTCTTATGTTCTACTCCTTCACAATATATATGATATATTGTATAATAATATCAACAAAGACCTAGAGGACTAAGCTTCTGATTAAGATAGTACATTGAACATATATGCTTTTTTTCCTCATTCTGCTTCCTAAAGACCTCTAAAATGACAGGAAAAGTAAAAGTAAATGATATAAACTCTTTCAAGAGAAGACACCATCTTATTTGAATTATTGATGAAATTGTTCAAGAAAACCAGACAAAGCTCCTAAGTTTCCCCTTGGAATTCAAGCTTTACCTTGCTCCACTCTCTTTCCCACAGAGGCAGAGTGCTGTAATCCAAAGCTCACATCAGCACCGGGAGTGGAGGTAGCAGGAACTAAAGTGACACCAAGATGAAAACTGATTAAAACTCTAAGAGATCAGACTCTAGCAGCCACCTCTAGCCTAGAAAACCAATGACTGTCCCCTAGTCACCAAAAATACAAGGGACTTGAATTCCAGAGAGGTTGTGACAGATCATCTGAAAGCTTTTTCACAATGAGAATAGTTGAAGGTGAAAATGGGAGCCCTCCCAGAATCAATATTGGAAATGGAGAGGGTTCTTGCAGAAATGGGTTATATGCCTGCTCCATTCTCTGCACAAACACAGACTTTCCAGTTTGCCTTAGTGACACAGTTTTAAATATGAATGAGCAGGCAAAGGCCAGAAGACATTTTAGAAAACCTCTTTAGTAAAAATCAGATCCTGAAACAAACAAGAAAAAAAAAAAAGTTGAGAGATGGAAGAACAAAAAAAGCACAGGGAGCATAATAAAAAAGTTCAGCCAAGTTAGTTTCCCTAGAACAATAACAGACAAGGAGAAAAAGTCCAGAGATGAAGAAAACTTCTTGGAAACTGAAGGCAAGTTAATATGAATCATATAAAGTACTGTAAAAGAATGTCAAGGTAAAGACTTTCCTTAACTAGTTCTCTACCTAAGTGAGCTTAAGCAAACCTAAAGAAGGAAAATTTAAAAATCCAGGAAACAGGTGAATCTAAGACAGGAAAGACTCAAAAGGGATTCTAAGATGACAGAGGAGGGGGGTGACTACTGTTTAACTTGTCTATGATGCAATCAATCTAATTAGCAGTATAAGAGCAAAGGAAGGATATTGCCCAGCAAAAATATGAAACAGCTTGTTTGTTCTATTCAACAATATTAATAGGAGACTATAGCTACCTAAAAGTTTCTGAGGAGAAATGACAGATACACACATAGAAAGCAAGCAAACAAAAAATTAGGGAATTAATAATCTCTATCCCAATTTTTTTCTTGAAAAGAAAATTATATACAATAGCAGCTACATCAGTTGGACATAAGCAAACTTATGTCCAAGGTAAGCACTAAAGATTGCTTTAACCAAAATTGTAATATAAATATATAGGAAGAAAGGGGAAAGGAGAAAGTGTGTGTGAAGGTTATGCCCCAGGCAAACTAAATCTTGATTTTCTATGGTTAAAATCTCATATCCACTTTGGAAAGTAACTGGGGGCCACCCGAGGAGGTCGAAGACATGTGTATCCTATGGCCAAACCATTTACTCATAGAGAGACGCTCATCTAATGAAGACACAGAGAGTACAGTGCACATGGAGGGTTTGTTTGTTGCCACCAAACAGAACTCAGACTCCACCTAG